TGCATTTCCCAACACCAACATGATCAAGGATCGCGTGATCTCGACACCCATGACAACCCGATAGATTCTGAGAATCTGGAATGCGGTAAGCCAAGCATAAGGTTGACCTGAATTTCGAATGGGTGGCAATAAAATCACCGTGGTAATGATCGCAAGTCCCAAGTCAAATAAATTTCTCTTGTGCTTGTGGAAATCCCGCCAATCGGAGGCAAATCGCAAACCGATGTCGATTAACAACAAGAATGTTACCGCCACTTCCGAAAGATCGATGAATCTTGAGCGAGAATCCGTCATATCGGAACTCCGGAAAGCTTGAGCTATGAGATCATAGACAATAATAGCGATCCAGAGCCAATATGTTTTATCGTACATCTGTCTTAGCTTGCTCACCTGTCGTGGCATGTTTACATTTGGATCGGGATGATCATCATCAGCATGGGCAGCGAATGCACTTGTTTTGCCTTCTCCTCTGATAACCTGAAAAGATGAAGTAATGACGGCTATCAGCAAGTTCATAAGCCAAAGCATCATAATAACAATTCCTCCTGCGAAGAAGATTGCGGCGGCGAGATAGTCTGAATCTGTGGTGTAATACATGAGATCTGTAAACGTGTTACCTGTCATAATAACGAACACGAGTTCCAAAGACTGTGCAATGTTATCAAAACTGACAGTTCCATTGAAAGGAAGTTGATCAGGAGGCAGTTGAAGACAATAAGATCCCTCGGGGCACAAGTAACCTTTGGACGAAGTGGCTCCAAAGTCTAAAGGGTAGAAAGGATTGTTCACGTCGGTTGATTTCATCCAGGGATCATGAGACGAGTTGTCCTTGTTGAACTGTCCTCCGCAGTATTGGTTGCTATTGACGAATGCTGTATTTTGCGCATTTTGGATGTCGTCAGGGTCGATCCATACGCATTGACGATCAAGACTTCCTTTGAAACTTTGTATACCGATGATGGCAAACAACAGCCAGAAGAATCCAATAAGAAAGGAAACATTGAGTAGCAATGGAGTCGCTTTTTTCAAACTTCGAAGAATTATCTAGATGCTATGTTAGAAGTGCACATGAAAGCGAGAGCAATGTAAGGCTTACAGCAGTACCGTTTGTAAGGGCAAGTAATCGAAGAATACGTAAACAGCTTAACATGCGAAATAGGTAAAGATGATAGCCATGCTCTACTCCAAGAAAACTGATGGCAAACGCTGCCCAGTAAGATACGACTGCGACGAAATCGAGTCGATTGAAAGAATGTCTGAGAAAAGCTCTCCTAGCTAGTTGCAATCGCTGGGCTTGCTCGACAGTGCTGGTCATTGCTTGCATTTGAGCGAAGGTATTGACGATAGGCATTTGTGTATTGGTGGTTTCCTCGGAAGATGATGTTTGGGCTCTTCTGACAGATGATTTTCGCTGAGGTGCAAATATCGATCGGTACTTGTCCACGATTGCTGCCCTGGCTCCACGTTGCCGGTCTATTGTACTGTATTCGGCTGCATTAATAATGAAACCGGACACAATAACACGTGCAATCACTTCCAGCGTGAAAATTATAAAGAGGCCCAGTAAAGCCCAGTCGGTTTTAGAGCCCCATCCAGGGCGCCGAGGGTGAGTATAAACAGAAGGAGCCGCATCTATCGCAAGGAGAATTGTTTGTATGACAATCAATATGAGAATTGCTGGTTCAGTGATAGGATAAACCAGAAAATCGCAAAGTTTTCGCCGAAGCTTGTTTTCCGGTGAAAAAATTCCTAGTGTTTTTCCTCTGAGAGGGTTAGGAGGATTCTGTGCCTGCCATTGATCCGTTCCAGGTCCATCCAAAGTCCTTGACGGGGGTTTCTCAAATGGAGGAAACATCGTATTCGGCCGGTAAGCTGTATCTTCGACATTCGGTTCGTATGATCTCCGCGAAGGGAAAAATGGTTCCTCAATACTGTGCGCTTGTCTCCTAGCGCTTTCTTCGATGACCTCGGCTTCACCACTCAGATTAACCACACGTTGCGACATAGCCCTCACCATCGACCCAGCTCTGGATAGAGCCCCCACAGTAGATGGAGATCTAGATCTGCGTCCACTGGGTGACAGGTTAGCTCCATAACTTTGCGACCTTGACCTTGTACCATATGATGAGTAACCTGCTTCCGCATTAGGAAGATCATCACCTAGTCTAGACCCTCTGTAGTTTGAACTTGGTGAGTTGAAATTGATAGATTGAAAGCTAGACCTATCATGTCGCTGCCCATCTGGAGTAGTGGGTTGTGTCCCGCCCATGGGCTGCAGATGGTTCGAATCCGTCAAAGGTATCTGGTCAGAATCGGAGGGAAAATATGAATTGTCGTTATCTCCCATGTCCCCATAAGAGTGCGCATAAGGTGTGAGAGAGTGCTGAGATCCAAAAGACATGGACCTTTCTCGCGGAGCATGAGATAAACTGATATCCGGTACATTTAGACCAGCGAATCCCATTGCTGCTTGAAAATCTGCAGGGTTTCCCACAGGCGATGTAGGGGTTTCTATTTCATTTTCGTGCCTTTCCCCAATAGTAGATTGTAGTGTCAGAGGTATCGCTGAGCTACCTGTTCGATCCGGTCTCCCTCCTGGACTGGGAGAAGAATCCCCTAGCCTTTCATACCCAGTACCAGCATTTAGACTTCCCGTCGGACGAAGACCTCCCCCTGCCAAAAGACTCCTCCCTCGTGTGTGCCGCCGCGATCCATCTCCCAAATCTGCAGAATCAGGTGGCCGTGTTAGATCTCGTAAAGGTATCGATTGAGGAGGGCTCGATAAATTATTGGAACCATTGGTGTTATTTGGAGGCATTCTGCCTAATCTCCGTGTTCAGAAAGCCAGCCAATTATCCCTATATATTTTCGAGTGTGCCGTTGCAAAAATCTGTAATCGCAATCGCAACGTAGTAGTTCGCAAGATTTCCCCAGGGACCAACGCGTGGAGCGGATCGTTTTAATTTTCAAGTCGTTATCATAATCGCTAGGATCGTATCGCTTTTCTTTCAATTCGTTGGCAATCTGAAAGACCTTAGATTCCGTGTTCCTCGATTACGTCGTATACTTTGAATTATTCTGTTTTTCTTGAATATCAAAGATTGCGGTTGACTTTTTGAAATGGCTTCTGTAACCAATTCCTTACACGAGCTTCAGTTGCACTTATACTACAAACGGTAAGATTCGGAAGCGACAGGGGTAAGATGCTATTTTAAAACAAGGCTATTGTGGCTGATAAAGGTACGGGGCTGAGAGGGGAGGGGTGGTTGTGCATGGATTTGAGAGAAAGTGCGGACTTCCTCTTGTTCCCAAAGTCAGAATAAGATTATAATAAAGAGACAACTCGTATTAGAATATTCGGAGTTTATAGAAGAATGAAGAGAAGGATATCGTCGTATCATCCATCGTATTCATATTGCAGGCTGGACCAACCCGACTACTTTGAAACATATGAGACAATGTTACAAGTGATATCTGTCCAGCAAATATACGGCACAGACTTCCAGATAATGCACATGGATTCTCCATACCTAGTACCAGTTTGGAGATAGACGCAAAGGTGTATATGCAAATGAACCAAAATGAACCAATGTTGCTCGACTTGAACGGCATTCGGCAACACATGAATATTAAATGCAGTGAAAGTGGCTAATGCAAATGGAAAGAACGGTAACTTTATGGTCACGTGGGGAACTTGAGACATGATCGTCGCTACTAAATTTCGGTTCCTCCGGCACATGTCAGAAGTATTATTTTATTTACATAAACCTCATCAGCTTTTCAGCCTTATTTCGCCCCATATTTCATATATTGACAGTATAATGTGTGAGAATCATTCTGACGTGTTATGAAACGATGGAATGAATGCACATCGAGCTACATTAGACGAACTTGCATGTGTATCCCATCAATTGGTCTCCCTTCTTCTTTCACCACCTTCCTCCTTAACGCTCCTTTGCTTTGCGGATACCCAATTGCTCCCTCTCTTCAATTCCACATTAACGACAAAGTCAAGAACTGCGCCGCCGTAAACCCAATCAGAATCTTCATTTGCAGATCATATCCCTGTCCAAACCCCTCCAGAGGAGAAATTGCTGAAGTAGATGACAAAACACTGTTAAGTCGGGCGTTGTTGAGAACCTTAGGAAGATAGATGATTAATGAGAGCTGTGGTTACGGATGCTAAACCGAGTGTGCTTCTTGTTATGCGACATCATTGCGCCAGAAGTTGATACCTTTAATCATCGTCTCAATATTATCTACCGACCTCTTGATTCTCAATTACCTCAAGCCACTGTGTTTACGACTAGGAAATCCTCCATGCCGAGAGTAGTACTGAATCTACCTTGATGACTTATCTTTATGCCTTCCATCTCTACAGTTCAACATTATTAGCAATCATCTCATCAGGGTGGGGATCTAATACGAAGCTTGCCCAGACTCTAATTGGTATGCAGTAGCGAAATCTTTTTGCAGGTCTTGAATAAACACGGCTGATGATAGCCCATACTCAGTATTGTTTGCCATTCTCATCAAACGGTTTCCAAAAGGTTTACAATATGCCACCTTAATACTAGTCAGATCCCCCATCAAGCTTATCTTTTCACTTGGCGTGTGGCCACTCTTCAAAGTCAATAAGCAAGAATGGATAGTAAGAAGTTTCATACTGTTCGATATGGATGACGAGACTTCTGAGTATATTTTCTTTTATCCTTGCTGGCTTGGGGACAAGTGCCTCCGACAACTCAAAGATGGACACGGAAAAATAAATTTCCAGTTTGAGATCTAGAATCTACTCGTATGCATAACTACTGTTGTATCCGTTCATCTATTCTGGGGATATTCTACTTTATAGAAGTGCGATTGCCAGTCACCAATTGCGCTTAATCTTTAGCATTTTCTGATGCCCATCATTACAACAATGGTCCTATAAATTTCAGAAGCCCTATAAGGCCCTGCTCTTACATTCCCCCTTCTCCATCATCCATCCACCCCACAACTTAAGCAATCCCTCCACCCGTTCCATTAGCCCACTTCTCCGCCCACCCCTTTACATCCTCGAAACTCCTACAAACCCTCTCACTCCCCCACCCCGTTGTATCATCCGTAACTGGATCAACATATTCCAAGTTCGTATCTGCAGCACACATTATCGCACGTCGCAAATAATCAAAACAATGTTTTTGATGCGCAGTCTCTATATGCGTATGCGCGGCCTTTTGCTCAAGAAATGGATCGATGGGTCCCCCGGCTGCGCGCGCAATTTGATAGTGTAGATCGTAGTAGGAGGTACGGAGGCCGTGCTAAAGAAGTGTCAATCTAGTTATGCGATTGAGATAGGGGTAGAAAAGAGAGGAACGGAGAAGGAGGAAAAGGGAAGGGAAAAATACCAGACAATGCAATTGATGGAATACTGAGACACTTTTTACAATCGGTGCTATCTCAGGTCGATATATAAATCCTCTGCCCACTACAAAGTTATTAGTGTAATTCAAACGAATGCTGATAAAACATGTATATAGAAACTAACCTGGCATTAAAGATCCCCAAGCGGCTTCCGATTCCGGCGTCGGTTTCATGGAAAACGTAGTATTAGGATACCAAGTTTCTTTTATCGATCCTGGAGGTGCTATATCTCTCATCAGCAAATTTTCAGTCTCTAAACTCCAGTCTACTCATCCACTCATTCAGTTCCCACGCTTAACCAACAGCAAAACCTAAGCCCAGCCGTCATTACAAAACTGAAAAAACTTACCCAACATCCCCCACTTCCTGTCTCCCCTCGGAAACCTCCTTCCAACCGCTGTCCCCATCCCAAAAAATATCAGAGACAAAAATGCAACGATAAGTATCTGCACCCATCCACGATTGCGCAGTGGGGTTCGACTCGTCTCTCCTCTTTTCATTGGCATGTGAGTGTCATTTTTATCACTATCATTATAGGTATTAAACCCCTTTTTCCCCGGGCGTATTTCTTCGTAGCCGGCAGGACTGCGTGGCATTTTTTCTCTTTGGTTTCTGGCGTACTGCCCTGGTTTATGTTGGATTTTGGTTTCAAGGGGAGGTAATTTGGTTTGTATTTCTGATCTTGGGATAGGATAGTGATTTCTTGCTTAAGTTTAGCAGTTCGATGTGCGGTTGATTTCGGATTTTCAGTGGCGGCTTCAATATCTCATTCCAGCTTCGACCTACAAGTCCAGGTCGTGATGTTGTGATGGGAGGATGGGAGCTTGGCAAGTAGAGTACTAGGTGTAGTATATTGTAAATGATACATGAGGATTTTCTTGGCAAGTGTAGGGAATAGAGATAAAGAGTTGTTTTTCGGTGGGTAGATTACTTGTTGATGGATTTTAATTCTCACAAAGGGAGATTTGGTATTATTTCCTAATGGAGGGATCAATAGGATTCTGGAGTGAAGGATAGACTTGTTTAGTGGGGTGGGGATTATTAGTATAATGTTTGCGATGGCGGTTTGATGCTAGGTCATGATAAGACAGATTATTGTGATTGGGGTAACCGTTGGTTGGGCTCGGTAATATTAATATGGGGAAAGGGGTAACAATCTCGTGCTACTTTACTATCGTCAGCAGAACGACCAATTTATCCACGTATTATGACCTGAGGTTTTAACAAAGATTAGTATTACATACATACAGGTTGCGCCAAATTTTCATAACCGAGTCAAATTAAAATACCATGATATGGTTCCAAACACAAAAAATCTCATGCAAAAACATCTGCAATGTAAAGTATATGTAACGAACGCATGTAGCACAACCCAAGAAAATTCCGCGTACCATCTAGAACTCTCGTATCGCTATTAATCACTACAGTAGCTGATATTTACCAGAACATCTCTCTTTATCCATCCATCCATGCTCGAGATATACCAACATGGACGACTCATGCAAATTCCACTATCCAGATCTCCTCGCATCGCCAATCTTCCTACCAAACTCCAAATATACCACTTGCACGTACTCCACCTCGTTCTCCCGATAGACTCCCTATCTTTTCTTTATCCAATTTTCATCTCAACCCAGTGACTTCTTCTTACCACCAATCTAATTGGCCTGTCCCCCCATTCCGAAACAAAGAATCACAAGCCCAGAAACTGTTTTGTTGCATATCTGAAATTTCCGCGGATTCGCAAACATGGGATCCCTATGATATCCAGCGACTTTTCTTGACCATCAATCTAATTGGTCTCCCAGCATTTCCAAAACAAAGAACCAGGAGTTGGAAAAAAAGTTTTGTTGCATATCTGAATTGACCGCGGATTCGCAAACATGGAGATAGACAAAGACATAGATAGATGTACAACATGTATGTATCTAATCCACGCCGTATTAATCGCCTCAACTAGCACTTCACCGTACCTAGGTATTATTCATCACGATATGTGTAGGTATCTGGTGAAGATATCCATTTCGCCTCTTGATCATCTAGAGCATTTGCAGATTGCGCAGTTCACGATTGTAGTTCACAAACTACGATCTGGAAAAACATACCACAACGGAAAATTCCACAATCTACTCCTCATCCCATCCCCACTCACAAAGAAAATATTATCTGTATTTCCCAAAATAGCCGTAACATACCTACTTCCTTCCCTGCCCAAACTAAAAGACGGTAAACTCCACTACCAATCCTCGCCTACTCCACCCTCTAACCACGCGCATCACGCTTCTTTGTTCCGCCCCCGCTACTGACAAGAACGACAGCAGTTCCTGACGCTAGAACACGATTACTCTATCCATTTCATCTCATCTCTTGTTGTATATCGATCTTTTCGCGCTTGATATCTATCATGTGTGTTTTGACTTGGCATATGAATGTCACTGGCAGTTGCTCCGTAGCCGTGGGAGAGTCCAAATCTCTTGGTATATCTTTACCCATCAAATCAAGGTGCGGCAGATACATCTTTTTTTGCTAATGCAAATCACTTAAATGCATCTCGACCTCATTCCAGCAAGCTCATCCATTGCATTCATGAAATAAACAAAATATCAGTAATCACCTCTTGTTCTTTCGCCCTTCCTCGACCTAATCCAAGGTCCACATTCCGCAAAAAGCAGGAAACAGATTTTGACTTCACTATCTCTCCAGCTCGGCGACTAGAAATCAAGGCAGATATGGACTTCTATTTCTTTGTTACCTAGTTGCTTCAAGGTCAGCTGCTAGGAAGATAATTAGATATTGCTCGTTTTTTAACATCAACGCTGATGCAAAATGATGTGGATGTGGTTTCAACCACGGGTACTGTTTATTTGTAAGTTTGAATATCATCCGAACGCGGCATGAAGCTGAGATAGATGTATGTTGATTTCGGTATCCGTAGTTTTTGATTTGTTATAGATGATGGTGGTAATGCCCAAACCAGATATCTCACCGCGTCCCTGGCAAAATCTGCAATCTTCAACCTTCAATCGTCATGTATCATGTATCATGTATCATGTATCTCTCCTCATCATCGATTCCAATCCAGTTATACACAGACATAGACACAGCTACATTTTTATCATCTTGATATCGAAATGCGATATTGAAATACGAATGCGGTCCCCGTAACCTCTAGAGTCATCTATCATTCCAAACTTTCCTCTTCTCTCTTCCCCCCCTCACACATCTTCTTTTTCTCTTGGCGCAAAGTCTCTTTGTCGTGTAACTTGTAACTACTACTCGTTTGTCAGCTACTCCGTCTGCTCTCCTCCTGGTATACCGTTAGCATACCATACCGCGCTCACAAGATATCGCCTTACTATCCGTGAGCCCCTTTACTTCTCTCTCATCTCATCACCAAATCTATCCCGTCATACCAGTGCTTCCCTTTACTTCTCCCCAACTCATCTCTCCACAACTCCTCTCTCCCCACTCAATGCAAAACGAAACAGTAAAGCGACAGTCAAGATCTTCCCAAGCAAATAATATCCAATGATTCCCGCAAATCTACCTCCCATCTCCATCTGAGTAGCACTGCGCATCTTGGTAAATCATATCGCACCCTCAAAATTACTCCCCAGTCCACCACCATCCACTCACATATACACACACACACACAACAATCCACTCACCCATCTCGTTAAATCTCTCCTCTCCATCCTTTTCCTCTTTACTCTCCGCACCCAAACAAACCACCTCCCTCTCCTTCTCCCTCTCAACCTCACTGTCATCCCCAACCGGAGAAACCCGGAAGCGAAATAACCTTATTTGAGACACCACGTTCCATCCGCTCGGTGAGTTTCAACGAATATCCAATTCCAGGAAGAACCGTGTAGAACAGATACTTTTCCAACTACAAGCCAATCCATCCATTACTCAATCAGACATTCTTCAATCAGCCATCTATTCATCAATCCGTCAGCCATGATCCATAATAGTTGGGCATGAAAATTATCATGGTCCGTGAATGTGGATGTGGATGTAAAACAGGAGTGAACAGAGACGAAGCACGCACCAACCTATACGTGTGGTATTATTACGACAATCTGCAGCGACAACAATTTATCCCTACCTAGGTATATTGAGGAGGAAATATTTATTCAATGAATGAATGAATGGATAGATGCCCAGGTGGATAGATGAACGTTTAATAAATTTATGAATGAAACTCCTCCTTTCATTCACGAAATTCCAAAAGACATCCATACTACAAGAGAAAAAGAAAAGAAAGAGGAAATGGCTAAAGATAAACAAACCCCCTTCATTCTATCATTCAATCATCCATTCATTCATCCGAAGTTTGTTTCCCCAACCCATCAAAAACAGACCCAAAAATCAAAAGAGCATTCATTCATTCATTCATTCATCCCCTTCAAATATTTCCTTAAATAATTCCATCTTTATAGACCGACAGACTACAATCAATCAATCAAACAAACCCATCCCAATCCTCTCTTCCCCAGTCTACCCAAGCAACCGAACCGAGCCGAAGTTCGAACCGGAAGTACAGTAAGTACCTACCTACCTAGTAATACTGAATAAACGAAACAATCCCTCACCAAACAAGTATCCCGAATGAAAATGAAAATGAAAATGAAATAAAATGAAATGAAACCAATGCAGCCACCCGATAGCGATAGCCGCGAACCAATCTTTCACTACGTAGGTAGGTGGTAACCTTATTTACGGGTACGTAGATACATACATACATACATACATACACATAGTAGCTATTCTTCTCTATCTGTGTATCCACTTGCTATCTAGCTACCTGCCTACTTACCTATTGCCCCGTGGAATCATTACTACTATTCAGCATTGAGATTATATACTGTAGATTTCAAACTGTAAACTGTAAACTGTAGACTGTAAACTGTAGACTATAGACTGTAGAAAGATCGAAACGAATAATCAAAAATAGATGAACGAAGTACTTCAAGGCCGACACGCTCTACACATATAGATACATACATACATCACAACACAACACTTTCTATACTCAAATATCAACCCAACTATAGTATACTAGGTATTAGTCACCGAGAAGAAGTTCCATTATCCATCTCATCACAGAACGTATCAAACTTCCATCCGTCATTCATCCATTATTCTTATGACTGCTTTCCCTCAAGAATCATTATTGACAGTCAGTCAGCCAGTCATTCATTCAGTCAATCAATCTAAACCGCGTTCCAAAACTAACTTCCCCCTCCCAGAGAAAAAAAATATATAAATTCAAATCTCCATCCATCTTCAACATTATCCACACCCTCACCCACACCCTCACCCTCATCCCCACCCCATCCCCCACAATCCAGCTGAATAAAGAACTCCAACTCCACTAACCACTAGCCACAAACCGCTAATCTACTAACCCCAAACCCAAAACCCACTAACCCCAAACCTCCATTCCACATTCCACACCACATTCCATCTCCCTCTCCCTCTTCCTCCCCCCCTCATCCCCAAACCAAACCAACCCACCATTTCGTGTAACCAATCCAATCCAATCCAATCCAAGCTACCTCCTACCTCCTACCTGCTACCCACACCCAGATCC